CATCCATGACCAAGGGGTCTGGGAAATTTGTCCCTGCTGCGAGCACAGGAGGACACTGACCCTGCCCAGGGTCCCTGCAGAGCCTCACACACGGGGACTTGCTCTGTCCCACTGCCTGGTGGGGGAAATGATGCTCTCTCCAGTTGTACGTTGTTTTACCCAACTCCCCCAGATCTCAGCGTGGTGAATGTTTTAATCCATGGCCACTCCTTCTCCTGGCCACAAGGTACATCTGGTGGCTGTTACCATTTGAGAGGGGGCAAGAGTAACCAGGGAAGTCATTCTGAAACTGGAAATCAGGGAGAATGGGCAGAGAAGCGAGTTCAAATCAGTGTTTGGGAAGAGGGAAATGCTGCTTGGAACACTCCAAGCACATGTAACCCAGCTGACTGACCACCTACCCAGATCTCAAAACGTGCAACCACATCCCACTGACAAACACCCCTTACTTTTCATCCTTCCTCTTCCATGGGTCCCCAAAATTTCCTACTTCCCTGTTTATCACTGTCCCACTGATGGCTGGGGTTTCACTGCTGATGTACAGCCCAAACCCACGCACAGGGCAGCATTTTTGAGGGGATTTGCACGTCTGGAAAGCAGCAAATTTGTGCCTAGAACTGTTTATATTTTAAGGAAAATCTTTCTCATGTTTACTTATTGGACTAGTTGCAAAACCTCTTATTTTGGAACCAAGTTTTATTGGCTTTGTCCTTTTACAGAATGCAGCTTACCTTTTGCAGTTTGTTTAGAGATTTTTTTTTTAATTTCCTTCTGCAACTGTAATTTACAATTAGAACACACTATTTTTGTATTTACAGCTCCAACCTGTTACAAGGATTAAATAAGGCTTCCTTACAAGTACACAGCTACAGTGATTTCTTCCTGAGCTATCTCAGAAATTCAACATGTAAAATAGTAAAAAAAAAAAAAATCAATAAAATTGTATTTTGGGTAAACAGAAAACTCTCTGTGAAAGGCAAAGGCACAAAATTATGCCCCATCCCTGGAAGTGTCCAAGGCCAAGTTGGACGGGGCTTGGAGCAACTTGGGCTAGTGGAAGGTTTCTGTGCCCAGGGCAGGGGGTGGAACTTGATGGCTTTAAGGTCCCTTCCAACCCAAACCATTCTGGGATTCTGTGCTTTGCTACTAAGTAGGAAGGCTTCTTTCATACTGGATAAAAAGGAACAGTCTATTAAATGTTTATATCTACCCTGTAGTAAGGCTGGTCCATCCAGTTTAATGACACCAGAAGGATGAGCAGCAGTAACAGGAACTGCTGCTTCTGAGCTACAACAGATCCAAAGCTCATAGAAAGTAAATGGCAGTGTCAGGCACATACTTTGGGTTTGGGATTTTTTCTTGCTGAAAAAGTGACTTATTGGCACACAAAGACATCTCAAATCTCCTCCACATAGAAATTGTAACTTTTGCTTTCTTCCCTCAGAAAATCTGACATAAAGACAGAAAAGGAAGAAAGTTATAGAAGTCATAGTCTCTTAAAATATGTATGTGAAGTCACCATACACATAACAAAATATGGCTTAATATATTAATAAGCCACAGACCTGATAAGGAAAATTTGTTCTCCCCATTTAAACTTTTCAGGAGCCATTTTCAGTTGTCAAAAAACAATGACAAAAGCTAATGAAAATACAACAGATCTTCTAAATCACCAAATTCCCCCCTCCCCAGAGACTGTTGTTCATCTGGAACGTCACGTGCTGTACACGTGGTGTGAAGGGGAAGCCTGGGATCAGCAGCAATGCAGCTGATCCCAGGACACCCAGGAAAGCTTGTGTTTCCTTCTTGTTAGCTGGTGGAGCCATCGCTGTGATCTTGTTGATGACTTCTGTTGGAATCTGATGACATCTATCGTGCCATTTCACCCCTAAGAACTGGATCTCCCTGGCAGGTCCCTTGACCTTACTCTTTTTGATGGCAAAACTGGCTTTGAGGAGAATCTGGATCATTTCCTTTCCTTTTTCAAAAACTCCCTCTGCTGTGTGCCCCCATACGATGATGTCATCAATATACTGGATGTGTTCTGGAGCCTCACCCTTCTCTAGTGTAGCCTGGATCAGTCCATGGTAGATGGTGGGACTGTGTTTCCACCCCTGGGGCAGTCAGTTCCAGGTGCACTGTGATAAGCTGGAAGGTCTGTGGGTGCTTTCTTAGAACTAGGAGGCATAATTAACTCCAGAGATGGCATTAATTAGCACGTTACCATCACTGCACATCATCCTGCATTGCTGTTTGGCTCAGCTCAGGCTCCCCTGCTCTCACCATGAGCAAGTTATTTATTGGGATTGAGAGACTGCACATTTACATGAAAAAAACTCAAAATAATCAGGTGTAAAGAAGTAAGGAGTCTCTAAGAAGAGCTTGCAGTGGCCAGGGATGGAGGTTCTCCAGCACACAAGCCCACCCCTAATGAATCCAACCATCCCCTGACCCCTGTGCTCCATGACACTCTCAAGCGGACTCATTTCAGGGAGGCTGCATTTACAGGTGACCTTAATGAGCAGAAATTCATTAAGGTCAAAAGACAGCCCTGCCAGTCAACTCGTTAGGACCCACTTGCACCCATGTGAGCACCGTGGCCTCTCCACAGGGTTGCTGCTCTTACAAGAGCTGCCATCCGGTGCAGAGGAGGGTTCCATCCATCCCCCCTGCCGGGCACACCACATTCCAGCTCACCTGTAAAGCCAGGGAGGTGCCAGCTCAGGATCTGAGGCACCTTGTGCGGGTCACCCCCAACTGCCCCGGCCCTCTCTGCTGTGCTGACTCAGCACCACGCACTGACATTTCTCACAGGGGCACTTGCACAACGAGCTCCAGAGCTGGCAGCACCCACATTTCCCCATTTATTAGGAAGCTCATATTTTCTTTGGAAAAATGCAACGTGCCCAGCATATAAAAGAACACCTCCTCACCACCCATAAAAAATCCCACCCAGCAACACAACAACTCCACCTCAACCCTTCAGGAGAATGTGGGAGAATTCCCAGCCCGGGTGGCTGTGCCCACACACCTCCTTCCCTGTGCTTCCCTGGCAGGGCGGGCATGTGCTCAGGGAGAGCCAGCTCAGCCTGGCACCTCCCACGGGCCACCCTGCAGTGACATGTTCCTGTGCCTGTGCCCTCAGACACCTACCTGGGAAACACCTGGCTTGGCCAGCCCAATCCTCACGGCTGAGATAAGAATGAAGAGTATTTAGGAGAGTGCTTTGCCTGCCTGGCTCTGGGCTCAGGCCTGACTCCATCACAGAGCCGGCATATTCGGAGTTCCCCAGTCCATGGTCAACTCCCAGCCTGTGCATGGTCAGGAGTGTAACCTCATGTCACACTGCAGGAGAATGGTGAATCACAGTCTTCTGTGCTGTTATGATTCACTTAATCTTTTCAAATTTATTAGGTGCAACGGAGCAAATAAATTTCACAGAGAGCTTTCATTTGTTAGGCAATCTGCTCCCATCTCTGGGCAGAGAGATGTTTCACCAAAAGCCTGCTCAAGTGTTCTGAGTTCCATATCCTGTATTTTTAGTGCCTTTCAGGGCTAAAAGCTCTGAAAACAGCAAAGCACAGAGCGAGTCCTCCTGTTCCTCCTGGCACAAAGACAATCCGCAGCAGCAGCAGACAAGAGCTTTCTGTGGATCTTTGTGTAAGCCATGGGAATGACTTAAGGCTTTGACCCAGCATATCCACATTATCTGTCCATCCCTGACATGGCAAAGATTCTTAGTCTTGCCTAGTGAGAAGGGATTAGCTTCAGATTTCTATTTCAGAACTGAGGGAGTAGCAATTGATCCGGAAATCTGGATCTATACAGCAACAACAATTTATCTATAGATCAACCTACAGAATTTATACCAATAAAGTCTAATTCATTACCTGCTTTTCTTCCAAACTTACTTGCAATGTTTCCCACAAGTTTGGATTGATTGCCATGGGTATATGCATGGGACAACTTATTTGCATGTTTACTAATCAGCTTTGGTCCCAATACACCCAAGAATCGGATTCCTTGTGTCCAGCTCAGCCATTATTCCATGTTATCCCTTGATGCTGGTATGGAAAAATGAAGGTGCCCTTCCTCCTGTGCATACACCACTACATCACTCCAGGCTAACACCCAGTCAGCTTTTAAATAAGGCATTCATGGCTTGAGAACATCTTAGCTTAAAGACAGTATGTACTGTGAAGTCAAATAAAGCTTAACTTAGCATATGAACAGCTGAAACTACTCTAGACTAAACAGGAGCACTCAAATCACCTGCCTTAAGAATCCCTGGTGCTCTGCAGTGCTCTGACATCACCCAGCTGGGATCATCTCCTCGGTGAGAATACTCAAAAGCAGTGGTTCTGCTGCAAAAACTCCACCTAAAGATAAAAAGGGTGTTGCTGTATCACAGTGCCCCAGGATTGCCACCTGGTTTATAGAATGGGTGGGACAAGAAAGTGATTTTGATTTATAACCCCCATCATTTCCGCTGTTTTGCAACAAACATGGCCCAACCAGCTCCAGGATGTTCAGAAGTCTCTTGCCCATCTCTTGCCCAACAGGTTCAAATTCTTGACTCCATATCCTGTATGTGAAACGAGCAGTTCCGGCAATAATTAAAAGTAAATACTTGCAGCACTTGGAAAATTAATAGGTTCCTGGTTCTAAGGGGGATTTAAAAAAAAAGAAAATACTCAGTGCACATTCCCATTGCAAGAAGTTTTACAGCCACTATTTCCCACCATGTCCTAGATGACTGGGAAGGAACAGTCTAATGAAAGAACCCTCACCCCGGTACTTTCCGTGAGCATCTGGCCAGACACCTTTTGAAGGAGACTGACACATATCCCAGTTGCTTTCTACGGGACAATGAGCAGCTCTATAATTATCAGGTGTCTTTTGATCTCCACTGATACTCACTGCAGGAAATTGCACACTCTCTTGGACCTGCTGATCCCTTTTCCATCCTGTTATTAACTGCCCTCCTTTGCAACTCGCAGCATCTCCTACTCCAGCCACTGACATGGAAGAAAATGCCAACACCAGCTTGGAAGAAGACTTCGAAGGACAGGCGACACACACAGGCAAGGAAACCAACTGCCTTTTTTTTATTCCCTAAAAATAAGCACTGGGGAAACACAGAATTCCAGTGGATCCAATGGATTCACCAATCCCCTTGAGCAGAAACACAGGTTCCAAAGGCAGTGAGGATGCATTTTGGGGTAAGGGCAGGTAACACCAGTGTGATCTTTGTGCCAATCCTCCTCATACCTGAAGCAAACAGCCAACACAGGAGACACTTGACAAAGCCACCAAGAGCAGTGGAGCTCCTGTGGGTTGGTCCTGAAGGATGACCTTCCTTCTCCTGGGGAAGAGAGAAAACCAAACAGCAACAAACCCCACACTAGAATTTAGCGACAATATTTCACTATAAAGGCAAAATTATGTTTTCCTTTTTATAGAAGGAACACTCAGAACTAAAAAATGAACCTGTAAGTCCTCTTGGCAAACACAGCACAGCATTTAGAAGCTCCAAGAGAAGTCTTGCTCAAAATCATCAGTTTTTTTAAAGCAGCACTCAGTCCTCAGGATTTTTATGAGTCCTGACACTGTGTTCAGCTCCACACCCAGGGATCATGTCCTGTGTGTAGAACATGGACACCAGCAGGCAACAAGATGCCTGTTCCCCCACTGTGCTCCAAGGGCTTCCTTTTCTTGGAGCTCTTGTAATAACTCTCTCTGGGACTCTTCACCTCTGAAAACACCAAAATATTCCTTGGTTATGCCTTATAAACTAAGCTGCAGATTCAAATGCTTCATTTTGAAAAACAGCACTGGAATTCGAAATTAATTTTCCCCTCCCCTCTTTCAAAATTTAACCATTTCAGTCAACCAGCTCTGCATTACAATCAGAACTATTGTACCATTTGCCTTATGGGTTACTCTTCCAGTGGAACAAGTATGGGTTTAAAAAGAAATGTCAAGTGCCCTGTATTCTTAATTTTACTGTGAGTTCTTACACAATTTATTTATATAAATGCACTGTCTATAGAGACATGCAAATATACTTGTATGAAACACAAGCTTTGGCCAACATGGCAATTTTACCAGGTTTCAACATTCTCATCCTTGTTAACTACTGAAATAGCTCACCAAAATCTGTTCATGGGCTCCTGATAGGAAGCAGAACCCCAAAGTGATCCAGGTTAGAAAAAACTCTTACTTTTTGGGACACATTAGTCCCAAAGTTTGGGTTCTCAGCACTCCTGGAGAGAGTTCTGGGAGGAAGAGGGACGGACAGATGAACTGAGGCACAGAAGGACAAAGCAGCAAAGAGCACAAAATTCTCAAGAAGCTCCTTGTTGCAGTTTCTCATCCAGCTTCATCTCTCTTAGGGCCCAAAGGTGTGATCAATGACTGGAGGAAGTTTAAATTAGAAAGCGAAGATGGAGAGTCCTTATCTTTGAGCAAGAAAGAAATGCTTAGACAAATGTCTTCACCACACAGATCCTTCAGTAGAGATGACAAAGACACCAGAGAGAGATTCTGCCGTAAGGTAAGTAGAGCAAAATAAATGAATTTTGATTCTAGATAAAACATACCAGTTATAAGCTAGAAAATCCTGAATTTGCCAGACTGAATTTCTGTGTAACTTAGCAGAGCTCTCCCAGCACAGAGAGAACAAACCACATGCAAACCAACGGAGCTGGGAAGGGGCTGGAGCAGCAGGAGGGGCTGAGGGAGCTGGGGGGGCTCAGCCTGGAGAAAAGGAGGCTCAGGGGGGACCTTCTGGCTCTGCAAGCCCCTGACAGGAGGGGGGAGTCGGGGGGGGTCGGGCTCTGCTGCCAGGGAACAAGGGACAGGAGGAGAGGGAACGGCCTCCAGCTGTGCCAGGGGAGGCTCAGGTTGGACATCAGGGAAAAAATTTTCACCAAAAGGGTTGTCAGGCATTAGAACAGACCACCCAGGGAACTGGTGGAATCACCATTCCTGGAAGCGTCCAAAAAAATGGGGATGTGGTACCCAGGGCCATGGGTTAGTGGTAGATTTGGCAGAGCTGGGTTAATGGTTGGACTCAATGATCTTAGAGGGCTTTTCCAACCTTAAAGGTTCTCTCTACCCAGTCCTCTCTCAAGCAAAAGACTCCAGTAAAACAAACTACATTGCACAACAACCTATCACAGCACAGTTTGACCTTTCTTCCTCTCTTCCCTGCCACAGTGATCTATCCATGGTTAAGGCAAACGTTTAACCTGTTTAAAAACCTATTAGTCAGGGACAGAGCTCTGAGCCTGAATGTCACTCATTACCATCTGCCAGGTCTGAACGGGGGGGGGACCCAAACCCCCAAAAACACAGGAATTAAACTTTGAGCCCACTGCAGTCAGTGACACAATTCCTACCAACTCTGGAAGATCCAGAGGTTTTTGTCAATGTGGCAACTGCCTCCAACACTGTCATGTTGACATGGAAGTGTTGAGGCAGGACCTTCACCCGTGTCTCGAGGAGACCCTCCAGAGTCACTGCAGGCAGTGACGGCTCTTCTGGGTCAGCTTGGACGTTCTTTAGACAACAGCAGGGGCTCTTCCCACCTCAGCACCGAGGGCTTAGCCCTCCCTAACCCGACATTCTCTGGCCCCCCCAGATGAGCATGCAGGAGTACGAGCTGATCCACGCGCAGGAGGACGAGAGCTGCCTACAGCAGTACCGCAAGCGCTGCATGCAGGACATGCACCAGCGGCTCAGCTTCGGGCCCAAGTTCGGTTACCTGTGTGAGCTGCAGAACGGGGAACAGTTCCTGGAGGCCGTGGAGAAGGAACACAAAACCACCACGGTGATAGTGCACATTTACGAAGATGGCGTGAAGGGCTGCGACGCCCTCAACAGCAGCCTGACCTGCCTGGCCGCAGAGTACCCCACCGTGAAGTTCTGCAAGATCAAGGCCTCCAGCACGGGGGCTGGAGATCGCTTCTCCAACGAGGTGCTCCCCTCCCTGCTGGTCTACAAGGCCGGGGAGCTGCTGAGCAATTTCATTAGTGTTTCTGAACAGTTCAATGAGGAGTTCTTTGCTGTGGATGTGGAGGCTTTCCTGAATGAGTACGGGCTGCTGCCTGAGGGGACGCTGCCCGCCCTGGGAAATGGCAACACGGATGAGCAGGATGTTGAATAGTCAGAGCCACAGTGCTCACTGTCTCCCTTTCCTCCTCAGTAAGCTGTAAATCAGTGTCAGTAACACCCATCTCGTTTAGAGAAGGCTGTCTTTGCTAACTTATTTGTAAGATACAAAGATACAAAATTATTTAACTGTTAGGATACGAATTCTACTTCAAACACACACAACTGGCAGTCCTGCACATAATTATCTCTATGCCACAAGTAATAGGAAGAACAGCAGACAATGCTGGTGATCTTTAAGATGTGAAAGTAAAAAGGATTTAAAAACTGAGGGCCCATGCCTGTCTCCAAGAAGCACAAGACCTTCATTTCAGACTGATCCATCCCTCTGTGCACACAAAAAGCCATGTCCATGCTCTGAATTATGGCTCCTCAGATACACTTCTACCAACTTCGGTAGGAAAAAGCAGTTTGAAGGACAAACAGCCCAAAGTCCTCACATTCCTAAATAACTTAGGTAACTAGGACAATATTTTATGTTTCCACATTTAACATTCGATATTCACGAAGAGAAATAAATTTCTCCCCCTTCTTGTTGTCACTTCTGTGACAACACTACACAAGTGTTGCTCTCACAACAGCAAACACAGACACAGCATCAGCTCCTTTCAGTTCATGGGTGCTCCACTGGTTGAGCAGCAATGTTTAAAATGTCTGCAGTATCTGAAAAAGTATATTGTGCTTATGTAATAACTCTGAATAAAGCTTAACAGCCCTTGAGACCTGCCATTGGAGGTGTGAAATATATTGGTAGTACACAACCTTAGCCTTAAAACACGTGAAATATTAGTAAGCACTCATTAGACATTTCCTAAGCCCAAAGTTTTGAGTTTTGTTAAAGGGAAGCTGCTGAGAACTACAATTTAACAATCTGAGGGAAAACTCACTATAAACCCCTCCTCTCGTTCTGACAGAACACAACAAAGCATTGGACACACTTCAATGGCTTTTGCACACTGGCAAAGCTGAAGGCTGAATTTCACTCTGTAACTTCTGATCTCAACAGCACAGTTTTGCTGATAACATTTGGGATTATCAGAAAATTAAAGATTATTTCTCTTTTGTTGGTTCATTTTCAGAAACTATGAAAATGCCGCTGATTTTCTACTTTTAATATTGTTTTTGCAATGGATGGATGTTTTAACAGAGCTCTAGAAACCTCACCTCGTGTACACTAAGCTAACAAATGAAGTTCCTTTATCAGCTCTTGTACAATCTTCTTTAACAATCTGTAAAACAATTCATGATTTTATTCCACCAAGAACTCCAACAGCACATTCCCAAAATGTTATGATTTCCATGCTGTAAATTGCTGAGTGAGAGAGTGTCATAAGTCTTTCTGAGGGAACTCCAGGTGGAATAAAGCTTTTCCCTTGGAGCAGCGCTCAGAATATTTGCAGATCTACCATTTGCAGATCCACCCAGCATAATGGAAATCCAGTGATCTTATAAAAGATTATGTAGAAAACAATGAATTATCTCTGTCCATCACAAAAATAACCAGTTACCTGGGTAGCAGGTCAGTATTTCACTTGTATTTTTTTATGACATGTCTTAAAGAAGATTAGTGAAAAATTTCTGTCCTTTGCACACCAGAAAATCTCCATGTAAGTGGTGGGAACTTAAAGTTCTTGAGAACTTTCCCTCTTTATCCAACTTGGTTCAAAAGCCATTAGGCTGCACATCAGCAGCCTTGTAACATAAACTTCATCTCTCTGAAAACCAGGCTGAAAGCAAAAAAACCACCAATAACACCACAGAAACTGGACCCAGAGCTACTGTAAGAAACAAGCTGACACTCCAGTTTAAGAGAAGGATTAAGCATGCTTAAGCAGGATTTCCTTCAACCTGTAATTTCAAACAAAAAACAAAGAGAGAGAGCAAACACATGCAGCACCAAGCCTCAACAGCAGCTCATGACTAATGAAGTTGCAAATAAAGCTCTGATCACAGCAGTTATCCAGGTTTCTGCAGGGAAAAAAAAAAAAAAAGAAAAAACCTTAAAGAAAACCAAAAAGCAAGACTTGACTCAAACATTTATTACTGTACAAAGGTTTTTTGAGTAACAAACAGCAAATGCTTCAAAAAGCACATGGGGACACCCTGAGTGTCCCCAAATATTCATCTTATCTCTGGTGTCACTGCTGATCAAACCCAGACAAAACCTCTGGCAGATCCAAGTGTCAGCTGGGGGAGTTATTTCTCCTCCCAGCATCCAGCACAGGGAGGCTGTGCTTTGGATGCAGTGGGTGGTGAGCAACTGCCTTGGGCATCCCTTGTCTCTCTGGGGTTGTATTCTTTCTCTTTTTGTTATGTCCCTTCTCATCACTATGATTATGTTTTACTTTATGTTTTACTTTATTTCAATTATTAAACTGTTCTCCTGGCAACCCAAAAGTTGTCCCTCTGTCCCAACCCTCCTCCCCCTGCCCCAAGGAGGGGAGTGAGCCCTGTGTGGCCTTTTAGTTGCCAGCTGGGGTCAAATCCCCCCAGCCTGTCTGTTCCCACCACATCAAATGCTGCCCTCAGATGTGAGGGACCATAAACCTCATTGACCCACACCACTGAGGCTTTTCAAAACTACATTTGAAAGCCACATAGCCCAGAAAATAAGGGCTTCTGTAAAATTATTTTGTAACATCAATTTTAGAACTATGCTTAGAAGAGCCAGACTTTCAGCTGTTGAAGTCCAGACCATTCCTCTGGACTCTTACATATTAAAATTAAAACAGATTTCCAGTGGTGCACACGAGTTAACAAAGCTCAGTTTCAGTCTCAACTGAGTTTTCACAGACTAAAAGCTTCACAGGATTGCATAGGAAAAGGATAAACTTGTATGAAACCTGAGCCAGAGTTATGCAGTAACCCAAGAGACTTTTAAAAGGTTCCTTTTCTCTTACACACACTCTTTCATTTCTCCTAAGCCCTCATTTTCTTACGTTCTCAATGGCCAACAAAAAAGGATGGGACCATGAAATCCCCTCTTGGTTAGTCCAGTAATTCTCAGACAAGTGAGAACCTGCTTTCTTCCACATGCCCTGTTTCCTCATGGCAGGATGACTGGAAGGCTCAATCTGTAGGTACAAGCCAAATTACTCATTTTTACTTTGACAGGGTTAAATTAATTTCTTATTGCACATATTCTTATTCTGGCATGAAAGCAGAAATCCCATCAAAAGCAATTTCTTTGCTTTCTTCCAGGTTCAAATTGGAAAACCAGACTTCCACAGCTCCTTGATACTCGGTTAGTTATAAGCTAGGGGGTTAATTTGACCGTCTGTAGTAAGACCATAGAGAAAAGGATCATTCACTAAACACTGAGTGAGCTTGCAGGGGGGAAGAAAAACAGAGTTCTCTGCTAGGGGTCCCATGGAATTATACATCCCAACAAGCTTTATGTTTTACACCACAAGCACTAAAGAAGAACTACGGGATGAGTGCTCCATGAGTGCTCCATGAGTTCTCTGGTGTCAGACACTGAGCGTCTCAGATGCTGTACTTCACTTCCGTGCCTGAGTTGTGTGCAACAGGCAACTACAGAATAACTATTTTATATTTTACCTCCAAAATGTTGTATTCTACCTCCTCATCCCACCCCTCCCCCCCCCCAAAAAGAGTCAAAAGACAAACTCTTTGCTTTTCATTATGCCCCTGCTCCTCCTTCTAACAGAGACTTCAGCAGAGCAATTTTTAAGCCAACCCTCCTTTGAAGCAGGTTACAAAATTAACCCCATTTTCTGGATAACCTCAGCCTCCCCTGGAGGAACTGCTGTGCATGATGCCATCTTGCTTTTGATTCCACCCACTGGCACAGAATAAAAGGCACCTATAAAGCCCACAGAGCTGAACCCAATGCCCCCATGACAACATCCACCTTCCTCCAGCAGGCCCTGCTTGAGCAACGCTGAGCACGAAAGGTCAACGCCGTGTTTCAAAGGACACTCACAACACTGAAAGCAGCTCTTTTTCCCCAAACATGTAAAAACAGAATACACAGATGAGGCAACACCAGTTAAGACACCTTTCCTCACAGTTGCCTTTAATAAAGGTATCCCAGCACATCCTTGATTACGCTTTAGAACCAGAGTGTTTATTTTTCCTTTGTGTTCCAGTGCCTTTAAACAAGAAAAGGTATTTGCAGTGGTATTAAAATGCCTTAAAATCTGGAACTCTTTTCTATTGTAGCTCAGGTCCAAGTAAACATCACATTTTATATACAAATTATCTTTATTAACCTTCTTAGAATTCTTCCCTCCTTCACCTCTCCTCATGGCAAGTAAACCTGTTATAGCCCAGTGTACCCTGGAAAATATCCTATAATGGAAAGATTTCTGTTTATAGTCTAAAAATCCTGATTAGCAATAATTTTGACAACTTGCATGTACCTACAAGATAAACCACAAGGGCTGCCTACATGTAGCTGTTGCTGAAATAGTTAATATTCCAAGAGAACAATGATTGAATAAGAGCTGGACAGAGAAATTTATTGATTTCTGAGTTCTCCAGATCTTGAACTAAGGTATTTACAGGTTGCCTTGGTCTAGTCTTGAAAATTCTAGAAACTATTTGTATATCTTTTATGCTAGTTAACCAGTATTACCTAAAAGTAAATCTAATTTTTCCGCAATTAATTTTAATGAGATTTCTCTTAGCAAATTAAAGCAGGAATTGTCATACCAGGTAACTACACTAGTCTTATCAGTAGCCTGAGAAACACCAGGAGCAGCATTTTGCACTGGAGGAGCCAGCAGGAAGAAAATGAAGGTTCCATATTTCTTTTTAAGGGCTCCTTCTAGAAAATAATATCATCATTCATTTATATGGAGCGACAGGGTTGGTTTCCTGTAAACTTGGTTCACTTTGTACTTGATTCTGTACCTGCATAATTCTACTTGATACATGAAGTGCATGCTGGAACAAGGTAACTGAGCCTACCATTACACTGATATTGCACATCTACCTGGGGATATTTAGGCAACAATTAATTACCAATCCATTAAACCCAGCTGTTTCCAGCTGGGAAATGGCCAACGTTTCCATGGAGCTCCAGGGGCTGCAGCTCAGTCACTGAAGTAGTTGAAAGAGAAGATGGATGCAAGGATTGCAACAGCAGCTGCCACCACCACACCTGGAATAACAGAGAGACACGGCAGTGAGGGGCCAAGGGCAGCACGGGGAGGGCAGGGGCGGGTGAACGTGCCCGAGGAGAAACCAAAGAGTCACCCCAAAAACTGCTTTTATCAGGAAAAGGCTCTTCCCCCAGAGGGTGGTTGGCACTGACCAGGCTCCCCAGGGCAGTGGGCACGGCCCCAAGGCTGCCAGAGCTCCGGGAGGGTTTGGACAACGCTCTGAGGGACAGGGGGGGATTGTTGGGGTGTCTGTGAAGAGCCAGTGGTTGCACTGGATGGTCCTGTGGGGCCCTTCCCACTCAGGACATTCTGTAATTCTGTGAGCTACCTAACACCATTAAGCCTCAATCTAAAGCTACAGTGTTGGATAAATAAATTATATAAAAGCTCCACATGACATTTCCAATCAGAGCAGGACCCTCCCAGAGATCCAGCTGGCTGCACACTTCTGTAGTACCTTGGCCATAAAATAATGCACTGACTCCATTCTAGGAATCAAACTGGGAAAAAATAACTGAAAGTTTAAGAAACAAAAGCTATTAAGTTGGTTTTTTTCCTGTGCAGCACTACATGTACTCAGTAGGTCTCTCTGTAGCACAACAGTCATTTCCCTGTTGACTAACTTGCTCATTACTGATGCAGCTGAGAAGACACACAAGAAAACCCCAAAACACCTGAGTAATGATTTAAGGAAAGATATTTATATATCTACATCAAACACACATTTAATCTTCCAGTTACCATGTTCTACTTCCAGGAATAAATAGAAAGCAGAAGTTACTGCTTTGTTGACTAAAGTATAACTGTATTTTAACACTAGAAGACTTCCAGCCAAGAGAACTGTACTGAGTGCAGACATATATGGGGGCTGGACAAGGGAGTATGGTGGAGAAGTTGCCTTGAAAAGGAGGGTTCTGTGGCTGAATTACTGAGGCTGAAAATTGGGGTGCTGTGGGAGCAAACACAAAGGGCCCACTGTGGGTTTGGCATTGCCATAGCAAAAATCTGGGAAGCAACATACCCATATTTTGTTGAAGCTTCAACAGCAACGTTGCTTTTGTCAGCTGTGTCTGTTGTGTGTCCTCCAGGTTGTCAGGAACTGGACAAATATCAACTGCATGGAAATCAAGGGAAGAAGGAAATACCAGGGGGAAAACTATCAGTTGTGTTTTACAATGAACTAATGCAAAAGGCCCAACAACTTCACATCAACTACATTTATGGTACAAAAAGCAGTTTACTGAAGCAGTACATTAGCAACAACACAGTGCTAAATTGTTCTATATGGGTGTGAGAGTAAAACTAAAGAGACAAAGGACATTTGGGGAGGAGTTCCTCTTCTGAAACTCATCTTCCACACCCTGCTTCCATGGTAACATACCCAACCATATTTGCATAGCATGGGGAGAATTTGACTGCTCTGAGGGGGAACCACCAAAATTTACCATTAACCACTTTCCAGGATCAGAGTTTCCTTTCAGAGCCATCTGTCTGAGCTCAGGCCATGTGCCAACCCACTGCCACAGGGATGAGCCCAGCATCACCTCCCTACCCAACAGCCATCAATGCATTTCTTCAAACCACAGAAACTTCTGTTGAAGATCCCATAAAAACACCCTTTCTGAGCAGGCATAGAGGCCTCATTCTTCTTTGGAATGATTACTAAATCCTTAGTCTGCTCAGCCAGGATGTGAGAGAGCTTGAATCTATTTCCAGACAGATGGGATTCAAACCTGTATCTATTTCCTTCCCCAGGATTTCCCTCACCACTTGGCCATCCCCAGCTTGCTAGAGACAGGGAGGAGAGAAAGAAGGGCAATAATCTCCAGTCCTCCCCCTGAACTGTTTGTGCCACCCAGAGCCAGCATGGAATCCCAGCTCAGTGCTAAGGTTACTCGATAGTGGTGGGCCAAAGGCCTTCAGTTTGCATTCCCATTCCCAGGAGGGTTTGCTGAGGCATCACTTGTCAAAAGTTTGGATTACAATTCAGTAGCTATGACTGCAGACAACTTCTGGACAAGCAACCAGCCAGAGAAAGTGTGCTGTTGCAGTGAGAGCTGAGGGTCTCTGGGAAGAAGAGAACAGGCACACTGAGATAAGAGAATGAGCCTAAGGGATTGTCCAGAAGACAAAGAAATCCCCCCAGCAGTACCAGATACCAAGTTTGAGGAGTCCATGGAACACTGATCTAAATAAAAACAGAGCTCCTGTTTCCACAACCACCCAGTGGGGTTGTCCATCAGCAATAAATTACAGGTTACATACTTGAGTAATAAGACACATCCTTTGTATGATTCATATGCAAATGATTACAAAATACTTTCTCTATCATTAGCTGTAGTGGAAATGTATAACCTAGATGTGATCAGAAAGGTTGTTCCTGTCATCTCAGATGACTCATGAGGATGACTGTCTTCAAAATCTTCTCAAGTTAAACCCAGACAAGACCTGTTACAGCGAAGCAAACTAGACTTTTAGGATCTGTCTTTAGCCATTTTTATCCCTAAACCCACTGAATTTGTATAGGATGTGCTGCAGCAGAGCAATTAATAACTGTCTGATATGAAACTTCATAAGATATTGAGATATACAGATATCCAGACACATACATGTCCATATATTAAGCAAAACATGGGTTGGAGATCTCTGTGTAAGCTGCACATACACGTAAAATCAAAACATCAACACAACAGTTCAATGCATTTCAAAACATTTCAAAGTGTGCTGTTTTGAAGAGAAATCATCAAATATCACTGAATCCCACTGGTCCTTAATGAGGTTTCATCAATGAGTGGTTTCATCATTATTTTTTCTGTGCCAAGGACTGTCTAAAATACGAGCAGAAATGTTCAGCTAGAGGAATTATTAACTGTTGCATTACAGCTTTTTAGTAAGTATCTTAACTAGCACAGTGTGAGCACCACATTCTGTCCAGTTCTGAATTCCCTAAAACATACCACTTTGGGATAAACTAGGTATTTCTGGGGTCACCTAGATCCAGCAGGTTCCTTTCTGCTTTAGGTGTGATGAGCAGGTAGGATGGTCTGTGCCCTCTAACTTCATGTTTCTTTGTGCCTTCCTAAGAACTGCTGGGCTTTTCTGAAGGTACCTTTGGAAGCTGCACATCAAGGCAGCTGCACGTTCCTCAGAGGGGAAAATACACCAAAAAAAAAGGGAAAAAGAACCAGCCTTGAGCTATTTAGTTACCAAAGGCATTTCTGGAAGGACGTGCACGTGTAGCAGCTGTAGCACAATTCATACGAAGTTTTAACAGCAGATGTTTTCCAGCAGCAATTCTATGAATCCTCAATTCTTCATCAAGTCTTCAGTTCCCTCAGGAAGGTGGGGAGGTGATTACCACTGCTGAAGGCTTATTCCTGTCTATCCCCACCCGCTGCACCGAGCAGGGGCAGGGATTTAGTAAAGCCAATCAGAAATGCAGAGCTTTCAGCTGCCTGTTTTAAAGCACTAAATACCTTGAAACTACAGTGTTAGAGCTATTTACGTCTCTCATTTATAAATAGCTTGGGTTTTACTCTCTATTTTCCACGTAACAATTTTAAAGCACGACCCAGCAGTGTCCTCACTGGAGAGTTGTCCAAGGAATCAAGAGAATAACACCGGAGGAAACAGCAGCAGAGGCCAAGCTCAGTAAGCACATAAAAGTGACCTTCTCAAAATTTCCTATGTTTTGACTAAAAGCTGTTTAAAAAGTAAATCTTTTGCCTATACTGATAGATCCTTTTCTTCTCAAGAGCATATTTTAAAGAGCAAAAATAAAATTATTTCGAAAGCCTGCTCTCGAATTTTAGACAGTTCTTTATATCAGCAAACTTTCCCCAGACCCTCACCACGGAGAGCATTGCCAGTTAATTCAAGGTTGGTGCCTCAGACCACAGGAACTGTGATTCAAATAGAAAGGCTGGTGACAAACCAACAACTGAATATTGCCTATTATTAACAGAGAACCATCACACGATGCCCAAATCAGAACTGGAAAAGCCTTCACACAAGGGAAACCCCCGACTGCTGTTATGCCACAAAAACCTGGTCACAGCAATACTTGGGACAATTCATACCAAGGCAACCATACAAAAGTCAAATTGCTTAATTAATGTTTTCTCTTAGAATGCAGAACACTTTTCTTATGCAGTTAATAGGTCTCATTTCTAAAATGACCCTTCTGGTGGGATAGAAGTGTATAAATACATTGTGATTTTAATAAACCACGAGTTAATGATGCCACATCAATAATTATCAGAATGAACAGATCCCGTTCTATGGACAATCTTTATGCTGTTCTCCAGGACAAGGCCAGGTTCTCCTAAAATCCTGTTTGTATGGTTTTCCTTCTTCTCTCCTATGCACTTACTTTAATTTGTGGGTTGGGTTTTTTTCCCCCCTAAAGAAAAGAAGCACTTTAATTTAGTAATTAAATTAATTTTAAATTTGTCTTTTTTTTTTAGTTAAAGAACATAAATCCCCCCCCAGACTCTACACCCAGCAAGCTACAAGACCACCCAAGCTCATTTTGTGGCCATCCTTTCACACACACAGTGCTGGCAGCAACCTTTGGGAGGCACTGCTGTCAGTGCAAAGGGGTTTTCTTCTCACCTCCAGATCACACAACAAAGCTCAACTGAATCATCTCCTCTCTCCCTCCCACACCTACAGCCACTGCTACAATACTAATTTGCTTCCCTAAGTTCCACTGATTCCCTAAAGCTCAGGAGTAATTAGCTGTAAGAGTATTAAAGTTACTCTAATAATGCCAGAGAGATTTTTATTGGCTTTCCTGTTTTCCTTGAGGTCCCTGAGCTGTGGACACCTCTTGCTTCTCCATATAATGAGTCAGTTCACAGCTGACAGGTTTAGTTAAAGCCTTGGGGAGGAACTGATTCATTTAGAAAGATAAAAAGAATTTAGGGTGAGCTCTGACATTAAGAAACTCAAAAACCCCTCCAAGTACACAAGTGGGTCAAGGAGAATATCAATACTCACAGCTCACCCTGCACAGCAAGTCATGGCTGCACTTCCCAGTTTTTGTCCCTAAATACCAACAAAAAAGTATTCTGAGCCCTTATATGAGAATTGATGCCATTCTTTTTAAATTTCAATTATAAAACTGTAACCTGCAGTTCGTATTCGTGCTGATGGAAGGGAAAAAAGGGAGAAAAATCTCTTCCGTGAGATGCATTTGAACTTCAGGTTTCACTTCTACATTAAAATCAACAACACACGGGGGAAAAAAAAAAGCCAACAGGGAATGATATAAACCAGAAATATTCAGAAAAAGGAAGTCAGTGACTAGATTGGAGCAAAGAATCTGTTAAAGGGAATATAACAACCTCATAATCAGAACATAAACTTGTAAGACATTCAGCAGAAAATGAAAAGCCCTCTCAATTTTCTTTTCATTTTGGGTGAATCACGTATCTTCAGGTTTGGGTACTGCATTTTTTTATAAAACACTCAGAACAAAGAAACTTTTTTTAAAAAAAAGTCAGATTTAGCATGAAAATTTCCTGAAGGACACAGAGTATTTGTATTTTTTGCTAATAGATTTTTAAAGCATTTTTTAATTCTGTAGGGAAGAAATAGCAGATTTCACTAAATCATTCAGCTTCTTCTTCTAACTTATTTTAAGCAGTATCAGAACTATTCAGCTCTAAAAAAAATGGACTACTGAAAGAGTAAATATATATATTAGTATAAAGAAAACAAAGCTTTACAGGTCTTTCTTACAGTTTATTTGTCAATATAGGATCATCCCTAACTCATGTGCAGAGTAACCTTGTTGGACCATCTCTTTATGTGCCTCCTGCAGTTCATGGGCTGCAGCCCTGAGCGCACAGATAACACAGTGAAAAGGGAAAAAATACTTGAGAAACAAAAGCCTGTTACAAGAAACACAGAAACTGCAAGAAAGTTACTATTTTCCCCAAATATCTTGGATTTGTTATTAGATATAAACCCTTAGAGCTCGTATGAAGCAAGCTGAATTTGGGCATATCCACATCTGGATAAAACTGGCCTATGCCATCAGTCAACGTTTTCCTGAGAAATGATCCAGTCCTGGTTGTCAGCCACTCACCTGTGCTGATCCCCTCTGCTGTGTGGATTTCTTCAGCTTGCACAGCCTGATCCAACAGCTCCACAAAACGCTCCTGGATTTCTCCAGCGGCCTCGTCGCCGAACTTGTAGTCGCTGAGCATCACACTGGACCCAGGCACGGGCACAAAGAGCCTCTGAGGCAAGACATGGTATTCCCTCTCAAAACCTACAAGGAAAGGGGGAAAAACACCATGCCAGTTGTGATAAGATTCCTCCTCGATCCCTGGCCATAAGATAAAACTATTGCAAAAGAACTGCTCGAGGTCTCCACGTAAAAATCCTGATTTCAGGCATGGCTTGTTTAGCTGTTGCTGTTCTGTGGAAGTTTTGGCTGCTGTGATATTGATTTATTATTAGTTATATAACTTACATGATTAGTCTCTCCAGAAGTATCCAAGAGAGCTCTAAAACAGGCCATAAAATTTCAAGTAGAGCTTTTCTCCTGGTTGGAATGACCAGCAGAACTCTGGGAGAGCCTGCAGATAAGGATTTCACCACCACACGGGATTGCAGACACAAAGTTCGGGTGCCACCTAAAGAGCAAACTCAGAACTACATGCAAAGGAAAAGGCTTTCCTTCACCTAAGATACTCAAACTGCTATTTCAATTCACTAATTTTTTTATTTAAACACAACGACAAGGTAACTTGACACTACTGCCCTGCTTAAAGAAACCCCAGCAGGAGCTCAGAGATCTGGTCCCAGCACACTCCTCCTCAGGTTTCAATATAATCATGATAGGCAGTTTTATTTCCATTTGCACCCCGCTTAGGTTCCTGCATGATGCTCTGTTCAAGTCAAGTTAATGCAACCCAGCAATTAGTTATGGTGCTGAAATAAGATCCACTCCTAGAAAAGACACAAATCTGTAATTGGTGCAGAGCAATAAGTTCAGGGGGCAGACACAACACAAATGATATATTTGTATAGTTAAAAAAAAGAAATCTTGATACTTCTTTATACCATAATTATCATATACAATGCCAATTTAATTTAACAGAGATGAAGTCCTGAATTTCAGGGCTCCTGTCCACTAACACTTGTAACACAGGTGACAGAAAAACATGCAAGGCCATGCCCAGCTGGTTCCTTTAATCCTACCAAGTTTTAACATCCTGCAATATTATATGGGAATGCCATACAGTGATTTCAAAAACAAAAATCTAAAATGTGCAAGTTGCAGTTGGAACTTCAGTGACAGGAATTTCAACTATGGAAGTTTTAAAAATCACAATATTTCCAATCAGTGAGAAAGAAGGTGAAACTGTCTTTTGTGGTCACAAGACCTGAATGCAAACATGGGGTGAGAGCTGTGATGCCAAAGGACACATCTGAACTTGACACAGATTCTCCAGATTTAGGAAAAAGTCAAGGTTGCCGAGCAGAAATTGTGCCTTTTGCTTTTTATTCTGCTCTAACCACACTGGATCTTCACTATACCAGCAGAATTTTCCACAACAACCAAAACTCACTGCAAATGTAAGTTTATTTTTCTTACTTTTTTTCTGAGGTCCTTCATTTAAAATCAGATCTTCAAAGAGTATTTCACACCTATCACTCAATGTGTTTATTATGTCCCTTTTCAAAGCCTGCAAGGACAAAGTGAAATCATCAGTAATATAAATATAATTATCAGTAATACAAAAGCCATTTGCAAATTTTGACTAGTAAGAAATAACCCCAGTCCCTCACAGGCTTAACCCATGGTGAAAGAATAGTTTTTCCCAGAAAATCAGAACTAATGTGAATTTTAAAAGCTCAATAAAGAGAAGCTAACATCAAAAGAATTAATATCTAGAAAGAAAGCAACAAAACAAAAATGAAAAGCTGAGGAAAGGTTTAGGAATTTTAGGATAAGATCTGTCAACTTCTAGACAATTGGCACTAAAACCAAACAAAAATAATCACAAGGCATTGACACAATAACGTGCAAGGGGACGAACATTTTGACCCCGCTATAAACCATTCTGGCAAAGGAAAACCAGCAGGGCAAGTTTCACGTATTTCAGAGAAGTGTTTGTGCTGAACTAACCCCCTTTTCAGTACCTGAATGGCTTCTTTAACCCTTGGCCTGTTGTTATGGATGTAGGCTCTGCATTTCACAGCCCCCCTGAGGTTTATGGAACCACTGCACACCTGCACTGTAGCTGTCGATCTGTGACTGGAGCCCTGGCACTGAAAAGCAAACATTTCAGCTTTATCTGCTCACCAAGGCACCTGCAGCACCAGCAACACAGAACAGCACTAGGAAATTAATGGCACACCTTCAGATGTTCACATACAACCTGCTTCCCTTTATAATTTATAACTCTAATTTTACTTTATTTTTTAGTTTGTTTAGGTAAGACTCCGAGTCTCTTTTGCCTTATGGAAAATGTATTTATTTTCCCAGATGTTTCAAGTATTTGTGGGTACAAGCCTTCTAAAACTTTCCAGTATTGTAATCGATAAAACTTTTTAAGCCTTTCTTTTTTCAGCAATGAGGTTTTAATGTTTACTGTGTAGTCAGTGTAACCCAGGGTGCCCTGGGAGTCACCCCATCAGTCAGTACTAAATTATACACGTGGCCACACTTACAACTGCATCAAACTGTTGCCCAGCAAGGTTCCCCCTAATTACCACAACAGTGTGTGTGGGCAGGAAGCACTCTGGGCCAACAGCTGGAAACACAGGGATGCACAACTCCCACACCCACTGCAAGAACTACTCCTGCCCAAATCAAGTTCTCCATTCCCTGAGGCAATTAACCTGAGCACAGTACACAGGAACAACAGAGGAACAACACAAGAAGCTGAGTATAATGGCATCTTACAAATTTCTAGAAGTTTTGCTGAACAAAACTGAAGAGCATCCAGGAACTACCTGATGAAACAGGATGGCCTGTGCTGTGCAAAGATGCCTACAAAGTAATGTCTGAACACATTTGGGCTTCAGGACCCAGGCTGGGGCACCAAATTCAGGGCTCATCACGACCTCTGGCACAGAGGAAACCCCTGACACAGACCCAGGAGCTCCACATGATGATCCAGCTCACAGGATCTGTGCCTTAACCCAGAGCTGGTGACAGCTTCTGACAAAAGCATCCAAATGAATGTCCCAGGGGGCCAAGGCAAGTTGAAATGTGGGGCGACTGTGAACTTCAGATGCCAAGTCACCCTGAAATCAATGTACACAGGTACATCCTACTACCAAATGAATTAGTTTGAAGGACTTCTTTTTCCATAACCTGTTTTCCAGTCTTTCCAAGTTATGCAACTCACTGACAACATGGTTTTCACACCACGAGAATTTCTAAAGGCATGAAACATGCAGGTCTGTCAGCAAACAGCAGGATCATATCAAACAGTATCCACAGGAGCAAAAACAGTCTTATGAACAAGTAAGCTGGATTTCTGGACAATAATTCAGAATGTTTTTTTTAGTTTTTATTCCATTTTATAATCTAACAGCAAGGTTATACTTTGCAAACCACTAAACGCTTACCAGCTGTGTCAGCACCTTGACATCAGAGAACTGAGTGCTGGACTGAGTATTTCCTCTTGACTTTTTCTGAGGGGAAAAAATATTTTTTGTGTCATGAAACTGGAAAGAACGCCACTGAATCAAGTCTCCTCACTATGGCATAAAATGTGCCCTAGTTTATGGCCTTCAAGAGAGAGAAATGCCACACAGAAACCAGCCATGAGAATATAATCACAAAACTAAAAGGAGAGATGGACGCATCAGCCCAACAAAGTGCTTCCACTCTTCGATAAACATTCAGACAGATGCAGGTCTTTGAAATCTCATCACCTACATTCACACCTCACTCACGTTCTTTAATAGCAACATTTTGGTCAGACTTCACATATAATTATTGTGTTCAAGTTGCCAGAGGAAGAACATGGAACCTGCAGCAAAGAACACAAGCAGTGCTGGGTATCAGTGACCTGGAACAGGTCAATTAGATCAATAAATACTGTACGGAAGGTGTCTCAGTCAGTGCTTCATCACACTGGAGGTTCCAAAAACACATCTATTAGAGCTCAATTCCTTGTTGTTTGGGACTCACCTGCCCTTCCAGTAGCTCTGTATCATCATCTTTAACTTGTCCATTGATGAGGAAAACACTGTCTTCTATCTGCTTCGACCACCGGTTCAACCCGTTCTTTGAAGTAAGTGAAAACACAAAAATCTCATCAGAAAGAGGAAAGAGAATTTCACTAAAGGGTTGGGCAGCATCACACTGAAAACTGCAGAAATACATGTTTCAACAGTTACTCCAAGGGAGTTTTAAAGTCTGTGAAAAAACACTCTCTATGATATTTTTCCCCCCAAGGTAACTCTTAGACCCACCATGTTCAGAACACAGCCATTAAGAAACAAGAATTACAAAACACTGAAGGGCCACCCCAGGGATCTGGGGTTTTTAGGAAGCGTTGCAGGCTACTGAAAGTCAATACTAAAAGCACCCCATGCCCTCCTCTAATTGGGTGTAACCTTTCACTAGGTGAGGCAGCAGAGACATTATTTGGACTGCGCATGACAATTGTTAAGTAATTTTGAGCCACGGAAACTTCTGATTGAGCACAGCAGAAGAATTACATTTACAAGAGGAATAACTGCCAAATATTCTCCCCCGATTAGTCCTACTTCTCTATGGCACTATTCAAATCTTTTCTCTCATTTCATTTTCAACAGAGTAATTACTGTAGTAATTGGTGCAGTAATTGGTGCAGTAACTGCTGCAGGCAGTTAGTTACCTTGGTGTTCTTCTCCAGGTCATGGTTTGGGGAAGTAGCAAGAAGTGGAATGTGAATATTAACATTTACTGTGCAGCCCAAAGCCAGCCAGGAGGCAGACAGAGCACTCTGGTATTTCCAATCTGCTGGTTTAGCTGAACTCTGAGAGCAGAGAAAACAAAAAAAGCCATAAAGCATCTACACAAAGCACTGTATAACTCAGAGGCCAATGTATTTTTGGAATATTACTTGCCATGCACTAAAAGCTGCCCATGGCACAGGAGGGTGAGCTCACCTTTGGATCTTGCACGTCGTAGGTTCTGCAAACTACTCTTTGCTACTTAAAGAAAAAGATTCAGTGAAAAGCAAAAGAAGTAAGAGCAACTCACAATTAACTTTGTCCTTTACTAAACTTCCCTGTGGAGCTAAGTGATGCCCTCAAGGAAGTTCTCACCTTTCACGAGCGTAAAAAAAGCAGAAAAACATTTGCCCGTAACTCCAACTACCACAGTGATGCTGTCCCAGCTCTTACAAGTAAATTAAGATCAATATGTACTGTCAGGGAGAACCACCAGGGCACCAATTCATAACTTGTCCTTGTCTCTCTCGCCTCTCTAAGGAAGATCCTCCTTTCTCTCCTTGCATTATCCCATCACCAACAGACCCTGCACTTTTCTGCAGCACTACTACTGATCCCAATGCCTGCTGCTTCCCCAGTTCCATGGAAGTACCATTGGCAACAGCAAGATCAAGGTGCTAAACACTATTTTAGATGTTTTCTTCAACTTATGCAAATCAAGACTGACTGGGGAAGGCATAATGTGATGCCACCACACAGACAACCCTAACAGTAAGAAATTATGGGAATTTTGAAGGATAAAAGGGTCGACAGCCTTACTCATGGCCTACTAGAAAACTTCACAATTTCAATTTGATCTCTGTCTGTCTGAACTCAGATGACTCACCCCTCCCAGTTTCTCACTAATCAGCAATAACACAGGTCAGGGGTAGCAGCCTCAGCCAGTAAACCTTGCTCATAAAGGATACTTCTTTGTAGCAGAGCAGATTTGAAGAGCTGCTCTGTCTGAGACCTCCTCCTCAGCAGGTTTCCAGAGCCTTCTTTTAGTCAGGGACTTTTCCACTGAGAAGATTAGCTGAAGACCAAAAAATATTAGGGACTTTTCCACAAAAATACACGCTGTAATTTCTGGAATATAGTCTTGTACAAAAGTTTGAAGTCCAAGTGATATCAAAATTATGTATCAGCAGGAAACACAGCTTATATGTCACCAAAATGTCACGTTAAAGGAACGTTCCACAAGGATTCATAGGCAACCTCTCCAAAGTGAAAGTGGCTTGTGAAATCTTAATTCAGCTTCTTTATACACCAAACAAAGTAACACACATTCACATATCCAGCCTGTATGGTTTTCTGCTTACAAGGAAAATTACAGCTTTCTGCCTATCCATCGAGGATCAGGAAAGGCAGCTGTGCAAAATAATTACTGACTAAGAGAAACCAAACAACTAATTTAAATTCAGTAGCCACTGATCAACTGGACACACCTTTTTTAGCCAGCTCCTCGTTTCAGTAAGCACAACTGAGGTGCCAGTGCACTGAACTGCCAGAATTGAGTCCTGAACCTCAGGCTACCAAACCTGCTCATGGGTAAATCACTCAGCATGCTTATCTCACCAAAATGATAAAATGAACATACATCTTCAGAACGGACACTAAATGTAACACACCCCACATTGTAACAAAAATGTATTTCGAGTCTATCAGACAGTTTTAAATTTAACCCCATACACCCAAGGCTAATACACTAATTCTAGACAGGATATTTCTTTTAAATGAGTAAGAATTATAAATTCTTCACTACTGTAAACATTTCTAATCTGAGCAATTCATTCAGATAAGGAAACCTAACATCACTAACACCTGTGTCACAAGGATTTAGTTTAATATAAACCTTGAAGACGCTTTTCCTATATTTTTCTTTTCTGACTTAAAACAACAAAATCTACTTGAGTATATACTCAAGCCAGTGATGGGGAATTCCTCAGCCAGCCAGAGGTGCTGCTGCCTGCCCAGCAGGAGTTCTGCTCACCTTGCGCAGAGCGTTCTGCCCGTCCTTTGCCAGCTCTGGGCTCGCAATCATGAACACACCAAGAACCAGCAACCCACCAGGGAGCATCCTGGACACCTGCAACATGAACATGAACGTTTATTGGCAGGACTCAGGGATCCAGAAACCTTGCAACTCAGCAAAAAGGAGACAAGTAGACAGAAACAGGTGAGGCTGGTGTTCACTCATAGGAACACACCCTACAAATGTTCTCCCTTCAGTGCTCTCAAGGCTCCTTTCATCAAAAAATCTGAAACCAATACAGGTATTTCTGGTTTAAAATACCTGTGCCCAGCGTGGTGAGGGAGGTTCTTTCACTTGGAGAAAAAGGCTGGAGAGGACACAAGTGATGAGATACTTTGTGACCATCTCATTTCCCTTTTGTTCCTCCCACCCCTTTGTTGTCCCAGAGGGTGAGTTCCTCACCTGGCTGGCGTGTGTGGTTATCCACTCCTCATCCAGGGATGCCAGTTTTGGAGGGCTGTTCTGCTCCTCGTGCTGGTCCTTGGGAGGGGTGCGGACAGCCCGGATGACATAGTCCCGTTGTGGGGAGCACTGTCCACAACATCCATGTGAGCAAACACACCGTGAGCGACACCAAGAACAGGGGTTTCCCAGTTCCCAGGAGTGACTGGAGCAGAACCAGCCATGCCACACTCACCTGCCCTATGAGCAGCCCAGTGACATAAGGCTTCACCGCTGTGCTGAGCTCGGACAGGTACTGCCCGATCCCCTCCTCCACCAAGTAGGTCCTACCCATGGCTCTGGGCTAAGCTCGAGGGTTGTGGTTCCAACCTACAAAACAAATAGTGCATAAAGTCAGAGAGGGTGCACGTACTGCAACAGAAAAACAGCCTCACACAAAGAACCTCTAGAATTGCTCAGGTTGAAAAAGCCCCCTGAGATGATCCAGTCCAACCATCCCCCAGCACTGCCAAGGCCACCACTGACCCGTGTCCCCAAGTGCCACAGCCACACGGCTTTTAAATCCCTGCAGGGATGGGGACTCCACCACTGCCCTGGGCAGCTGGGCCAGGGCTGGACAACTCTTTCTGGGAAGAAACTTTCCCAATATCCAACATGAGCCTCCCCTGGCACAGCTGGAGGCCGTTCCCTCTCCTCCTGTCCCTTGTTCCCTGGCAGCAGAGCCCGAACCCCCCCGGCTCCCCCCTCCTGTCAGGGACTTGCAGAGCCAGAAGGTCCCCCCTAAGCCTCCTTTTCTCCAGGCTGAGCCCCCCCAGCTCCCTCAGCCCCTCCTGCTGCTCCAGCCCCTTCCCAGCTCCGTTCCCTTCCCTGGACACACTCCAGCCCCTCAATGTCTCTCTTGCCACTAGGGGCCCAGACCCGACCCCAGGATTTGAGGAGTGGAACAACTCCAAACAACCCTTTTCTGCTGCATTTTGTCTCATCAGAGGCCAGAACGTAAAGGATGCACTTTTCCATTCACACGGGGACTTGCTAAATTCCACACTTGTACTTAAACATGCCATGCATCGTTTCCATTCCAATTCCCAAGGAATCCCAAGCACAGCATCTGTGGACATTCCACACAGCCACCTTTGTAGCTCCCACTCTGAGCCCAGGAAAGGGGACTGTCCCAGACCCCCCTCCTTCCATGCAGGGCTGCTCTGAAAACCCCTTCACGCACCAAGGACTCCCACGAAGAATCACCACAAGACAGCTAAAGCCCAGAGCACTGGGTGAGGAAGCAAAGGGCCTCCTGAGTCTCCACCTGGGAGGCTCTCACACACCTCACCGCAGCCCCCACGGCCTGGGCCGCGGGTCCCCACACCCGGCTCAGCACCTCAGGGCCCACCGCGTCCCGGGGCTCCGCGCCCACCGCATTCCCGGGCTCCCCAGCCCCCCGCGCTCAGCCCCGCCGGCTCCTGGAACTCAGCACTGTCAGATGCCAGAGACCAGCCCCTTGTTCAGCCTCACCGAGTTCCCCGTTTTGGCTCCGCCGCCGCCTCGGCCGAGCCCTGAGGTGGCCCTCACACGTCACCGCCGGGGCGGCGCAGGATGATGACGCGCTGCCATGCGGAGCGCGGGAAAAGGGCACGGCCCCGCCATGGCGGGAGCGGGGGGGCGGGCACGGCCCCGCCATGGCGGGAGCGGGGGGGCAGCACCGGCCCCGCAGCATCTCCCGGGAGCACCGGGAGCCCTGGGGGCACCGACGGCCTCCCATCCCCTGCGGACACGAGTCCCGGAGCTCCCCAGTGCCGCTCGCACCGCCCCCGCGCCGGCGGAAGCGGAAGCGCCGGAGGGCGGGCGCAGTGAGGCGGGGCCGCGGCCATGGCGGCCGTGCTGCAGCAGCTCCTGGAGCGCGCCGAGCTCGCCAAGCTGCCCCGCGCCGTGCAGGGCAAGCTGGAGCGCTTCCTGGGCGACCAGCAGGGCGAGATCGAGGGGCTGCGCGCCCGCCACGAGCGCTTCAAGGTGGACAGCGGTGAGTGCGGGCCGGGGGCGCGGCGGGCCCGCGGGCCTGGCTGAGGGGAGGGAGCGCGGCGGGACAGGGGGGCCTTCCAGAGGCTTCCAGGGGGTACCCTGGGGCTCTGAGGCTGGGAAGGACACTGCAGTGGGACCTGGTCGTGTTTGGTCTCTCTCGTTGGCTCCTGGAGTCTCTTTCTTTTTTCCTTTTTTTTTCTCTTACCAGGAATTTTCAGGGTTAAAACTATTTGGAGCGGGTTTAAAGAACATTGAGGGACTGGAGCGTGTCTAGGGAAGGGAAGGGAGCTGGGAAGGGGCTGGAGCAGCAGGAGCAGCTGAGGGAGCTGAGGGGGCTCAGCCTGGAGCAAAGGAGGCTCAGGGGGGACCTTCTGGCTCTGCAACCCCCTGACAGGAGGGGGGAGCCGGGGGGGGTCGGGCTCTGCTCCCAGGGAACAAGGGACAGGAGGAGAGGGAACGGCCTCCAGCTGTGCCAGGGGAGGCTCAGGTTGGATATTGGGAAAATTTCTTCCCAGAAAGAGTTGTCCAGCCCTGGCACATCTGCCCAGGGCAGTGGTGGAGTCCCCATCCCTGGAGGTGTCCAAAAAACGTGTGGCTGTGGCACTTGGGGACACAGGTTACAGGTGGCCTTGGCAGTGCTGGGGGATGGTTGGACTCTGACCTTTCAGGTCTCTTCCAGCCCGGGTGATTCTCTGCTTCAGCCTGCTCTGATCCTCGTCGTGGAGGAGAAATAGAGTTTTGTTTTCCCACCTGTCAAACAGCCTCAGGTTTATACCTTTGTGCTACATAACATGTTGAAGGCCATTCTGTGAAATGGTCCCGAGAGAATCAATGTTTTTATGTTGATTTGGAGGTTACTTGGTCACAGAACAATAGTACCAGGAGAGAACAGGAGAGAAGAGTGTAATGTTGGGGATGAGTTCATTTATTGGGAATGTGACATGCTTCTGATGTGAAACTTTACTTCCACCTTTCTTTCAGCCTCTTTCACGACAGAAGTCTTGCTAAATGAATTATTCGAGTGCAGTGTGAATTAAGGGAACCCACCAATTTTAGCAGGGTGCTCTTCCAAGTCCATTCTTCTCATGTGTGGCAGGAGGGGCAACATTATTTGAAGCTGAGAGTTGTGAGAGGAAGCAGGAGATAGAGAAACATCTCTCAGGACTTCCTTAGGAGCCCATTCTCCCCAGGAGTTCTGCTTCTACTGAGTATTTTACAGTGAAGCTCCATGACACAGTTACTGTTTCAGATAAAAGAAATTCAAGCCTAATCATTCTTTTCAGTACTCATGGAATAGAGAACAGGAATTCATTTTAGGAAGTGTTCATTACAACTTTTCCCAGTCAGACCCCTTGATATCTGGGATTGTGTGGGGTTTATTGTACATGCAGATAAATACTTCAGAGGTAAAAGAAGTTGTAAGTTGATGAAAGCACATTGCATAATTGTGCTGCTACAACATCTGTGGCTACATCAGAAATGTTAAAGAACTATTCAGATTCATCAGGCTGTTATTTGATGGATCATTTCATAGACTCACAGAACAGTTTGGGTTCGAAGGGACCTTAAAGCTCATCTTGTTTCAACCCCCTGCCATGGCTGGAACCTCCCACTAGACCAGGTTGAAATATATCACAATTTCTGGAAACTTTTCATGCTAGCAAAATATTTTAAACAATGTTAATTCAATGTGGAAGTGCAGCTTTTCGCTTTTAAAAATGCTTTTTTTTCTTTGAATTCCACTACAGTCTTAGTATTTTTAGATATTTTCTTTATAAATGCTTTTCTTTGGTAGAAATGTCTGTTAATAAGGATTCTTGGTAAAGGTGAGAAAGAAAAGGAAATGTTTATGAAATGCAACTGAGCTGACTTTGTTACCCTGCAGAACAACAGTACTTTGAAGTGGAAAAGCGACTGGCTCAGAGTCAGGAGAGGCTTGTGAGTGAGACCCAGGAATGTCAAACTCTGCGGGAGGAGCTCAGAAAGCTTCGTAAGTGAACTGTGCATCCCTGAGGTTGGCCAGGATATCCGTCCTTTAGCCCAGTTTCTGCTGGAACTCTTTAGGAGTTGAAAATCCGTCATCAGCTGCACTTGTGTTTCTGCTCGTAAAGAGGTGTTTTGGTTTTGTGGTCGAGTCGGCCTTTTTAATGAAATTTTTTGTCCTAATGGAAAAAACCCACCTTGCTTTGTGGTTTTTGTAGTAATGAATTAATGTGCATAATAAGTGCTTTGCTCTAAAGATTGCCTTAGTCTGCCACAACACCACCCTGTCCATTCAGAGGGAGGTCTGGAATTGTTTGTTTGTTTTTTTTTTATTAAAGATTTTTAAGGGAATTTTTGACTCAGTTCCATTTGAAGAGTGAATGTTGTCATATTCCAGTGGAGATTCCTCCCTACTGTTTGTTCTCACCCAACAGACGAGCAGCTGAAGTCACTCAGTGAGAAGAACAAGGAGCTCGAGGCTGCCCAGGACCGGAACGCGGCCGTTCAGGTACTGGGGGAACGTGGCCATAACCCCAGATCCTGGGATTCACCTGGATTCTCTGTGCAGCACAGAGTGCAACCAGTTCCCAGCTGGGCTGGACCAGTATGTCCCTATTTACATGTGTACAGGAAAACCATGTGGGCTTACAGCAGTAAAAGCTGGTGTTTTAGCAAACTGAGTGACAGGGAGAGCAGCTCCTTTTGTTTCGGTTGGGGTGGGTTGTTCCATTCTGGCTGAAACCTGTTGGGAAGTGACTTTAGCCAAACCCCGAAAATTCAGACAAAGGTATAAACAGGAATTCTGTTTTTCCCCATTCTTTCCCACTCTCAGGCACAGTTTTCCTTTTATGCTCAGTGTTATGCTCAGAAGTCTGGGTTTGCAGGATGGGTCATTGAGCTGACTGATCCAGCAGAACAGTAATTTTGGAGCAGGAAGCAAACCCAAGATTATTAGATTGATTTTTCCACAATAATGGGACTGATCTGATTGTTTCCCTGGGGGGGCTTACCTAGGCCTGACTGAGGTGCTTTGTAGTGACATCTTGAAAGCACAGGCACTGCTGTTGCCTATAAATAATCCAAGATCATTGACTTTGATTTGATTTTTATTTTGATTTTTTTTTTTACAGAGTCATTTCTTGCTTACTCTGTTACCTCTTTTACTGAACCAACTAAAACTGTTTCAACGAAGTCTTGAGTATCAAATCTGTCTTTCAAAGAATACTAAAATTAAATGCAGTTTTGAACAGTTCCTATTGTTGGACTGATTCAGCTCCCCACTCTGTAAGCCTCTTATCCCAGTTTCCAGTTGGCTAGAGTGACTTACTGAGGTTTAGCTTGCTGCTGTGTGATCCTGAGTGTGAGTGGTGACTATAAACTGTTGCAGAGAGCTGGTCACGTTTCTTTATTGATTTTTTTTCCATTTTTTTCAGAGCCAGTTAAGTAGAGAGAAGGAAGAACTGGAAGCTGAGAAGAGAGACTTGGTTCGAACAAGCGAAAGGCGATCCCAGGAGGTTGAACATTTAAATGGTACAGCCAAGTCATAAAATACTGAATAAAAAGACATGCTTGAGCACTTGAATTGAGTGGAGTAGCCAGGCAGCACCAAGTAATGGATTAGCAGGAATCAGTGTTTAGAGGAAAGGAAAGAAGGCAGGAAATAACACACTAATTGCAGAAAACCAGCAGTTTGGTGCTTGTTTGTGTAGATTTAAAACCATACCTTACATGGTATCTTACTGCCCAACATACAATTACATACATTACATCTTGCCTGTTCTCATTCTTTACAATTTAGTTATGTGAGTAATCAAAGCTGTTACACAATTAAGGCGTTTTTAACACTGATTTCCCTCCTCCAGAGGATGTAAAACGCTTAAATGAAAAGCTTGCAGAAGCAAACACAGAAAAGGCCAAACTTCAGTTGAAGTTGGATGAGCTTCAAACATCAGATGTCTCCATGAAGGTGAGCAGGACTCGGTATGCACAGTGTGTGTGTTCTGAGTTGTTTGGGTGTGATGTAATCATCTGGGCATGATTCCCTCTGAAAGTAGGGCAAGGGAGCTCCTGTTATTTATAGCAGATTGCTTTATTATGAAGTTGGTGGCTGTGAGTGGAAGTGAGGTGTGTATTCACAGAAGACAAGGGGTATCAAGTTGGGCAAGCATGTCCAAGCCTCAGTGGTGGTAGTGATGGCCTCTCCTACCCACTGGTAAGGACTCCAGGTCCAGGAGGGCAGGTAGAGAGGAGAAAAATAATTGGTTGTGAACCTGCACCCTTTCTCTGTGGGCAGAATAAACTCCAGAAAGAGAGGGGGAAAGGAGAAAAAAAGGAGGAAAACTTCAATACACTAAATAATTGCCTTTAACTAGGTATTAATCTAGTTAATATTCTCAGCTAACATAAACTTTGAGGAAACTAACTCAGGTGGCAAGAATTTCTTGGTAACTTATTACCAATGTAATAAAGACCACTGCCTGTCATTTGGTGTTATTTACCAAAGTACAGTATATTTTTGCTGCTCCTCCTCCGATCAGAGTAGTTTAATTTGTTTTCTGGGGAACCAGCACAATTTCACTGTGCAATTT